CCAACCCACTCTCTATATGAAAACAGATACAGATAGATACACATAGAAAAGGAGGCAAGAAACATTTTATCAAGTCTTTACTATGTACCAGAAAGGTGCTATGCTAGTTCAATAAGTTTTGTCATTAATTTTTTACCACGAGCTTTCAAAATGGATAACATATCCATTTGTGTACATAAGGAAGTTGCACTCGGAAAAAAAGAGAGAAATTTGCAGTCATTCAGTTAATAGGTAGATCTAGGATTGAGCCTAGATTATAAGAAAAATAAGAACTATCATTTATTGAGCACTTACCATGTGTTGGGCATAGTTCCAAACATTCTATTTTTATTAACTATGTAAAGTTGCCACAAAAACCCTGAGGGAGGTAGTGGTATTATACCCACTTGACAGGGAAAACTCAGGCACAGAAGATCACCCTTGGTAGGGGAAGAGCCTTTGACTCTAAAGCTCTCTCCAGAATCAAGTACCCTGGAGAGACTGGACGCAGGAAAAGTAGTTATCATCCAAGTAGGAGACAAACAGACCTGAAATAAGGATTGGGAGGAAGGGACAGATTTAAGAAGCACTTCTGATGATCTCTGCATCATCTATCTGGATGAGAGGTGGATGAGGGAGCAGAGGGAGAAAGAGGAATTGAAGATAGCTGCATTTTCTTGTTTGCTTAATTAAGAACATGGTGACACCATTAAGTAAGACCTAGAATGAAGACAAACTCGCATTGCATTTATGTTGTTACATAGCTATATTTAGCTCTTTTTCTAGCTTAGCTGTGAAACGTATGAGAAAATCGTGTCCTCATCTACATAAAAATGTGCTGATTGATTATAAAGAAGACTGTCAGTGGATTTGGGAACATTGCAGGACAGTGAAGTGCTAAATATATATGTAGCTTTAGGATGGCAGTAATTATAATTCTATACTTGATTAATTTCTTATTTAAGAATTATTCTCTGGTACCCACTATGGGTTGGCTGTCAAGGATACTATGGTGAAGAAGACCCAGTGAGTCCATGCCTTTAGGAAGCTAATATTCAGAAAAGGAAGACAGGCAATAAATAAGGAATCAAAAATTAGGCTGTGAGAAGTACTATAAATGGAGTGCCATGGTAAAGCATGATGGTTTAGGGTCCAGGTGACATAGGGTCTTGTTAGATGTGGAAGCCATTTGATTCCAAGTATGATGAGAAGAAATTGATGAGTTTTGAGCGAGTAATAATCTATCATGGTTTTTTTATAGCTCACTCTGAATGTCATTACATTCAAGGCAAGATTGTGACGATAGGAATGGACGCAGAAAAAGCTGGTTAGGAGGGCCAGAGGCAAGAGTGATGATGGCTTAAATAAAGGTGCAGTGAAGGCAAACGGATGTGGGTAGAAACTGAAATATATTTTGGCGATAGCTGGCAGACTTGTTGATGGAGAGAGATGAAGAAAAGGGAGAAATCAAAGATGACACCTAGGTTTTTAGTTTAACCAGCTGTGTAAGTAGTGCTATTTACTAATATTGGGCAACTAGAGGAGGAATTAGTTTTGAAGGAAAATGATGATCAAACTCATGTATGTATATACATATGTAAGCATGATACCAAAGCTTACCAAAGAGTGCTCTGGACTGGGAATTTAAAAGCCTGACTTGTGTCATATCATCACTAAGAGGAATAACTTCTCTACACCTCATTTTTTCCCATCTGTAACATGGGGATGATTATATGTGTCTTTGCTGGTTCAGAGGAAGGGATGCTGAGAAGATAAATGAGATAACATATAAAAGTACTTTGAAGTCTTGGGAGGATAAAAACTGTGTAAATCCAAGCTATCATTATTTAAGTACAGGGTGTGTTTATATTTTCTATGTATCTACTCAAAGTCATAGGGCCCATAAGTATATCACACTTACATTCTTCATGTTCAGTTCTCAGAAATGGCAAGATGAACATAATTTGTTTCTCCAGCTGTCCCTTCACCTAGAGTGTTTTCTTGACAGAATTTTGCAGTTATTAATGTTGTCTCAGACTTTTTTTTACAACCCTGGGAAAAAAAGGGGGTTTTACTCAGTATAACTCAGCCTGGGTAATTTTTGGCAGATAATGATCTTCTTTAACAGAGGTGTACAGATTACAAAGAACCAACATGTTGTCTCATTGACTCTTCCAACAACACTCTAAGAAAGGTATTTTTCACCATTTAACAAAGGGAAGTTGGCTCAAGAGGTTAAAATAATTTACCTAAAACTTCATTTTACAGCTGGAGTAATTAAGGCTAATGAAAGAGTTGTATTCTTAAAAAACATAGTGGTTACCAGAGGGTAAGGGTTGGGGAGGAGTAGGGAGGTAGACGAGATAAAGGGGATCAGATGTGTGATGACAGAAAGAAATCTAACTATGGGAGGTGAACACAGTGTAAATATATATATGCCTTACTGTTAAAGTGTACAGTTGAAACTTACTGGATTTAGTTAACCAACGTCACCATAAAAAATAAATAATAAAAGTGAAAAATTCATAACATTCACACACACAAAATATATAGTGAACTAGCACCAGAGATGTTCAAAGAACAGCAGCTATGTCCCAGATAATATTCACGGGATGGGTGTGCAATCTTCTTTGATCCCTGTAACCTTCTATACACTCTTCAGTTCTTTGATAACAGGTCTAACTACTGATTTTTCTTGCCCAGTTTCAAGAGCTGCCATCCCACCCATGACCTTGTGTTAATGTTCTAACTATAAACAAAAGAAGAAACAAAAACTGTCCCTTGCTCTCCAGAGTAATTACACGATTGACAATATCATCCTTCCCTTGGGAGGAGACATTGTGCACTTAATTGTGCCTGAGGTGATGTACAAAAGAGAGGACCTTGGAATAGTGGAAAGACAACTGGACTTGGAATCCAGATATGTGAGGTTGAGTCTTGGTTCAAAATTACTTATTTGTGACCTGGGGATGAAGTGAACCTATTGGAGCTTCAGTTTTAATAACTGTAAACTGCATATACTATTTCTGTTTACTTGCTATAATCTTCTAGTCAGCCTCACCTTCGTCTGCACAATTCCAGAAGCACAAGTATATGGTCTAACTAGTCGCTTTCAGAATGCCTATTTTGTAAATCATTGCATTTAATATTCACTATTCTGTTCACTTCTTCCCTTTCTCAGCAAAAAATGCATGTATATTTGCTCACTTCTAATAGAGGGGGAAGTGGGCTATTTTGGTATTCATGCAGTATGACTCTCAGCATATTAGTCTATTTAGAACAAAGCTAAGAAGGAATGACATACAGGGTTGCATGAGGATTGAATTAATGCATGTAAAATGTTTAGCAAAGTGATGTATACAGTGAATGATAATTGTTAGCTGTTACAATTTTTTCCTACTTTGGTGATTTGTCTTGAATGGTTTAGCTGTGGCTCTGGCTGGAGACTAGAGGATAAACTGATTCCCTTTAAAAATGCCCTCCTGGTTCATCACCAGGTAAGACTTTCTTACATAGTATCTGTAACCTTTCTCCTTATTGTCTCCTAGTTTCTGCACACCTAAGAAGGTATCTGGGATAACATTTTGTAAGTTGATGGTAAATACAAATAAAATAACGACAACTTTGAGATCAATGACAAAATTTCAACTTTTTTTCCTCTGAATTGAGTCTGAAAAACAAACTTCAAAACCTGTGAACATGTTTTTTAAAACTACATTTCAGAGTTTACAGGTGTGTGTGCCTGGGGCAACCAAAACAAAGATTACAGTGGTTATGGCTGCCTCCCAGACTCAGATAAAAGAGGCGCCTCTCAGCTAGCTTTACGTGCCAGCTCACCTGAGGTCACACTTTGAATTTTCCCCACTTAGGGCAGATAGAACAGGGCCTCCCAAGGCTGGGTTTTAAACCCACACTACTGTTTTCCCAGCCTCTCTCCCTTCCCGTTTTGAGTTTCTGGGTCAGCAGTCCTCAACTTACTCGGGCGGGTGTCCCGGGGGAGGCAAAGTGGTGTCTGGGTGCAGGCAGATGAGAGCAATGTTGGGCGGCGGTGGCCCGGGAATCGGCGGGTGGACAGCTGCCCCGGGACTGTCCGCGCACTCATTCAGCATGCCGCCTTCAGACCTAAGGAGTCACAACTCTAGGCTCTTATGCTATTCAGTGTCTCTCCAGGGCTGGGCGA